AGATTTTATTTATTTGAGAGAGTGGGAGAGAGAGAGAGGGAGAGCACAGAGGGAAAAGCAGACTCCCTGCTGATCTGGGAGCATGATGGGGGCTTGATCCCAGGACCTCGAGATCAGACCTGAGCCAAAGGCAAACGCTTAACCAGCTGAGCCACCCAGGGGCCCCCAAGTGTAGTTTAGTTTTAAATAGGCAGAACGCAACGGTGTTGGAAAAATTCATATATCAAAAAGCAGATACAGTGAAAATGAGTCTTCCTTCCAGATCCATCTCTCATTCCCCAGGTTGTCTTCCCTGAGAAAACCACTGCAAATGGAGAGTGCTGATAAGTACCAGTCTCAGGGACCCATTCTCAAGTTGTAATGATTTAGAATCTCCTAAGTTTGCCCAGGAACCTGGACTTTTAACAAGCCCCCCAGATAATTTGGATGCAGGGTCTGGGGCTGAGGACCACTGGTCCGGGGATGCTGTTATACCAAACTCAATAAAAAAAGAGCAAATTCGCTCTGTATATGTCAACAATATTTCAGTTCATACAGCCTCTCAGGAATAAAGATGTCTGATAAAGCGGGTTCAACTTTTCTTGGTTTTACACACATTTATTTTTCAAGTTCTGGAGGCAGGAACGTCCAAAGTCAAGATGCCGGCCAGTTCAGTTCCTGGTGAGAAACTCTTCCTGGCTTACAGATGACCACGTCTTGTCATAACCTCACATGGTGTGGGGACAGTTCAGTTCCTGATGAGAACCTCTTCCTGGCTTACAGATGACCACCTCTTGTCATAACCTCACATGGTGTGGGGAGAGAGCTCTAGTCCTTCTTCCTCTTCTTATAATAACACTAACCCCATCATGAGGGCTCCATGTTTATGACCTCATTTAAACCTAATTACCTCCTAAAGGCCCGCCTATAAATACCATCACATTGTGGGTAAAGGCTTCAACAGATGGATATTGGTGGGGACACAACATTCAGTCTATAACCCTGGGTTTCTAGTCCACTCTGCCGTGTCTAGCTGAGAGCTCTTTTCAAGTTACTTTGATTGTTGGGATTTAGATGCCTCATCCATAAGGAAAGCTGACTGAATCAGCTCAAGGGGATCCAAAGTGCTCCCCTGGAGAACCTAGAGCCCTCTTCGGGGCTGAGATGGAGGGAGGTGTTGATAGCTGAGTAGGCAGGTTTCTATCTCAGTAGACCAACCCCCACCCCCCAACTCATCATTCAACAAGAGCAGTTCCATCTTTTCTATCATCTCTCTAACATCCATCATCTATCTAACATCCATCACCGATCATGTTTTTTAAGAATAAACTCCAGACTGTTTGGATTTCACCAGCTTTTCCACTAATGCTCTTTGTCTTTTCCAAGACCCAATCCAGGATATCATGTTGCATTTAATGTCTTATTTGATTTTGCCTCTGATTCAGATTTTCTTCAAACCAATGGATCCAGAATAACAACAGAAAGAAATGTTTCATATCCACTGGACTAACTGCTGGCTAGTTGTCTTCCACTTCTATGGCTTGAGGCTGACATTATAAATGAGGTTTAGCTGGAACATAGTGGACAAACAAGGTCTTTGGAGTCAGGCTCAGTTGGTCTAACTTTTGCTCCCTGGAGGATATCGGACAATTCACTGAGCCTCCCTAAACTTCAGGATTCTCATCTGTAAAATGGGAGAGTAATACCTAATTTGCACGGTTTTGAAGATAAAGTGAGTTTGGCACAAGGTACATCTATAAGAGGCATTCCGTCTATGGTGGCAGATCTTCAGGTTCATATGGTGCCACCGGCCCTCAAGTCAACAGACACTTAGGCCTCCCCATGGTTGTACCGTTGGTGTTGCCATCCAGGCCCTTGTCCCCCTGCCCTGCTGAATCTCTTAAACATTTTGTGCCTGGAATAATATTTAACAGCAGCCTGCTCTCCCTCTCCAAGAAAAACCCCTCTCATATCTAATGTTTTGATCATACTGTAGAGATGGGATTTAAAACATGATTCCTAATTCAGTTGTTCCAAAGTGGAAAAAGATTACATAATTAATACATGTTAATCATAGAAAAATTAGGTTATATGGATAAACAAAAGGAAGAAAATAGAAATCAGCTGTAATCATCAGACCACCCAGAAATAACCTTGTTATCATTTTGCGATCTACATCTGGGAAGATATATCTTCTCTTTCTCTCTTCTTTTTTAAATTGCACTATTCTATGCATTGCTTTTTTTTGGAATCCCATTGTCATTTATTCTATATTTACTCTATTCCCATGTAATAAAATATAATTCTGGAATCTAATTTTTCGAAACTATATTATATGGGTGTATTGAAATTGTCTTAACTCTCTATTGTTGGATGGTTTGGTGGTTTCAGTTTTTGCTTTTGCCAATAACATTGCAATATGCATCCCTCTAGCAAAATCTTCGTGCACCATTTTCCAGTTTGGAAGTTTGAAGCCAGCAGCCATCATGCTGCGCCCACACCCTTTTTTCCTCTTACTTTCCTGGGGGGACTGTGTGCTCCTTTGAGGGCAGCAAGCACAGGCTGCTCTCTTCATCTTCATGTAACCCTCGGTGCGTTCCTACTCTTTTTTTTTCTTTAAAGATTTTATTTATTTATTTGATAGAAACACAGCGAGAGAGGGAACACAAGCAGGGGGAGTGGGAGAGGGAGAAGCAGGCTTCCCGCCGAGCAGGGAGCCTGATGTGGGGCTCGATCCCAGGACCCTGGGATCATGACCTGAGCTGAAGGCAGACGCTTAACCGACTGAGCCACCCAGGCGTCCCTCCATTATTCTTTTTAATATGTACATGATTTTTTTTTAAAGATTTTATTTATTTATTTGACAGAGAGAGACACAGCGAGAGAGGGAACACAAGCAGGGGGAGTGGGAGAGGGAGAAGCAGGCTTCCCGTGGACCAGGGAATCCGACGTGGGGCTCGATCTCAGGACCCTGGGATCATGATCTGAGCCGAAGGCAGACGCTTAACGACTGAGCCACCCAGGAGCCCCTTTGTGCATTTCTACTCTAGGGGCCCATTATCCCGAACTTGCTTCCCCATTGTTGGTTCTGCTTGCATATTTGATGTTTGGGTTCTTAACTCTGGTCCATATTCTCACTCATTCAACAGAGATCTGTTGAGAACTTTTGATGTGCGAAGTGTGGAGCCAGGAGCTGGGGAAACAGGGCAAATAAGACAGAAAGTGGTCTTGCCCTGGAGGAGGGGCCCTATAGAGCGGTGGGCAGACAGGGAGCAGGGAGCACATGCAGGGATGATTTCAAATAATAATAAATGATAGGAGGACTAGAAAGCAGGTAGGAGGATGAGGAGTCTCAGGGAGGGGCTCAGAGGAGTTTTCTCTGGGGAAACCACCTTTGGGCAGAGACCTGGGAGGTGCAAAGATGTGGCCTGCCACTGGGAAGGGGACAGCAGAAGCTTGCAGAGGAGTAGCCACAGAAAGGACGCTGCAGCAGGAACCCTCGGGCTGTTCCCAGGACAGCAGGAGAGACCCAGGACAAGGGCTCGGGAGATGGGCCCCAAGGGGCTGGACAGGGGCTAGACCACGCTGGGTCTCAGAGGCCGTGGGGAGGAGTTCAAATTTTATTTGAAGTTCAGTTTATTTGGAGGCAGTGGGAGAAAAACAGGATCTGGTTTTCATTTTTAAAAGATCGCTCCGCTCAAATTTTATCCTAAGCCCTAATTATCCGGATGAGAAATGCTCAGCAGGGAGAGGGATAATGCCTCAACAGATATTGGCCAGGAAGAAGGGACAGGGTTTTCTGAGATGTAGTTTCCCGAGCCTTCCAGATTTCTTTTTGCGGCAGATACTCTTATTAAATCGATATCCAGGAGTTGTGGGATCACTATGCTGTACACCTGCAACTAATATAAGAATGCATGTCAACTCTACTTCACTAATCATAATTTAAAAATCGATATCCTCCCCCCGCCACCCGCCCCGTGTTTGCTACCAGAATTCTGATTTTGTCAGGTGCCAATATATGCCTCCTTCCCGGCCTCCTTTGTAGTGCAGGTGGCCTTGGGAAGCATGTGACACCATTCTGGCCAATCAGGCACATCTGGAGAATTCTGGAAAGGACACATTTGGTGCACCCCCATCTCCTCCTCCGCCTTTGATAGAACAGAGGTGATGTCTCAAGCACAGAGCCATTCAACGACAAGTATGAGGACGAAAGATAACATGTTAAGGATTATAGGGCGGGAAGAGAGAAGCAGCTGGGGTCTCTGATGTCTTGAATGAGCAGCTGAACCTTTCACACCAGCAACCCCCTGACTTCTTGTTACGGGACAAGATAAAACCCCTACTTAGTTTAAGCTGCTGTTCCTTAGGTATTCTGTCAACTGTAGCCAAGGCCTTCCTAACTGATACATTTATCACCTTGGAAAAGGAACTGACTCCATTAGTAATTCCACAGAATGTTATGCAAATCATTAAAATTCTGAATAACTTAATGTGTATTAAAATTGAAATGATTGCCAACCCTAATTTCGGAAGCCTGTGTGTGTTGTGGGTTAGGGTTTGTGATCTCCATGCTACGGATGTGTTATTAAATTGCCAGTTGATATAAAAATGCTTTCTACAGTGCTGTTCAGACGTCCTTTACTTGAGAAGAGAGCCACGCCAAAGGCTTTGGTGCAGAGATGATTGGGCTTTCTTGCTCTCTCAGACTGTTTGGTTCTCACTGAGGATCACATGGAACCCTTCCTCCAGCCAGGTTGGCCCTGACTCTGCCATTTAAAGTCCTGTAAGCACAGAGTTTTTGTTTTAACCATTCGGAAAGCATTTAGAGTGGATTGAACGTTGGCCCCCAAAAGACAGGTTCACTCAAAACCTGAAAATGTGACCTTACTTGGCAAAATGGCTTTTGCAGATATAATTAGGTTAAGGAAAGGAGATTGTAATTGTCCTGGACTAGGGTGGGCCCAAAATCCAACATGTCCTCAGAAGGGAAGAGTAGGGGAGAAGACACAGAGGCAGAGTTTGGAGTGATGTGTCTGTAAGTCAAGGAGCCCAGCGGTGGGGCAGCCACTGGAATCTAGGACAGAAGCATGGAATGGATTCTACCTCAGAGTCTCCAGGTGCATTTCTGTTGCCTGAAGCACTAGGTTTGTTGTCATGGCAGCTCTAGGAAATGCACACATCACTAGGGTAAGAGGGTGGGACAGGATGAGACCAACACTCTGCGTCTGAAATGAGAAACACAGGCTAGGCTGTGTTGCTTAGGACAGTAAGGAAGAGCTACAAAATCTAAGAATTTCAGGAAAAAACAAAGAAAAAGAGCAAAGCAAAAGCTTCTACCTCTCAGAAACCATTTTGCCAACACTGATGAACATCATCCTGAACTTCTCTGCAGGCACGTATTTAGACAGAAGCCTTGGTAGATACAGCTTTACAAAAATAAGTTCATATGATGCATGCTATTTTTATAAACATGATTAAACCCAAGTCCTCTTGTATTTACCAGAAGAAAAAGGAAGTAGAATCAAACTGAAGGAATTGTTGAACTACACATAAACATTTGTTCATAACAAGAGCTATTAATTCCTAAAAGATATTTCTCAGGTGAAGACACAATTGTGAAAAAAATTATTAAGAGTTTGGCATGATTTCACTTTTTGAAAACTGGATGTTTCAATTGTACATGACAGGTATTAACTTTGTGCTGTGAAAGGGAGATTTTATGCACTTTCTTTTCCTTTCCACCCCCGGCCTCCTGATTTTTGTTAGTTACATTATTTATTTTTTATTTTTATTTTTTTTAAAAGATTTTATTTTATTTATTTGACAGAGAGAGAGAGAACACAAGAGAGGGAACACAAGCAGGGGGAGTGGGAGAGGGAGAAGCAGGCTTCCCGCCAAGCAGGGAGCCCGATGTGGGACTCGATCCCAGAACCCTGGGATCATGACCTGAGCCAAAGGCAGATGCTTAATGGACTGAGCCACCCAGGCGCCCCTGTTAGTTACATTATTATTTTTAGATTTTTTGGAATTATAACATTTATATTCTGTTCCATCAACTCATTCCCACGGTTGCTCAGCTTTGGTTCTGTGTTTAAGTGGATCCAATGCTTATGGTTGTCCTTTTACGGTGCTCGGTGTTTAATTTCGATTCATGCCTTAGAATGCTGGATTTCATCAGTAAGTATTTTTCAGAAAGCCCTTTGTTGCTGTAGTCCTTGAATTCTTGCATGTTTAAGAACATTGGTTTCTTGTAATAGTGGTACAATTTGGCTGAGTAGAAAACTCTCGGGCTTCCCTTTTGCCCCTAGAACTTAGTTGATGTTTTCATGTTGAGTGTTGGTAGGGGTGGTTGAGAGGAATCATGTGATTCTTGTTCTCTACACGTTGCAGACAGGACACGTCCCTTTGAATTTCAGTATCTTCACAGTACGTGTTCCAATGCTTCTAAATTTGCTGATTTTTCCTGGGATATGGTGTGTCCTTTAAATCTTGAGATACCTAGGGGGATGGGCTAAATGGGTGATGGGAATTAAGGAGGGCTCTTGTGATGAGCACCGGGTGTTGTACGTAAGTGATGACTCACTAAATTCTACTCCTGAAACCAATATTACACTGTATCTTAATTAACTATAATTTAAATACAAATTTGAAAAACAAAAAACAAAAAAACAAAAAACCCTAGAGGTACCTAGCTTTCTTTACCTCAAGAAAGAAACTTTTTTTTTTTTTTTAAGATTTTACTTATTTACTTGACAGAGAGAGAACACAAGCAGGGGGAGAGAGAGAAGCAGGCTTCCTGCCGAGCAGGGAGCCCAATGCAGGGCTCGATCCCAGGGCCTTGGGATCATGACCTGAGCTGAAGGCAGATGCTTAATGACTGAGCCACCCAGGCGCCCCAAGAAACTTTTTTTGAATTTTGTTTTTTTCCCGTCCCCTTGCGTTTTTCTGTTCAGAATACCAGTTTGAAGATGTCAGCCTGCCTCTTTCTTCAGTTTGAATTGTCTCGTTTACAATAATTTTGATCCCATTGTTCCTTTCTCTTTCATTTTGTGTGATTTCTTAAGCATGGCCTGCGTTTTCCATGGTTTTTATCTATTTTCAGTTGCTTCTAAGTTGACTTTCATCTCTAAAATTGCTTTATTTTTAGCTTCCATTTATTTCCTGAGCATTGCCAGTTCACTTTGCGACTGGTTTTCTTCTTATTTCTTTTTGGATTACTTCTATTCCTTCCCTGAACTTTTTTTTTTTCCCTCTGAAAATCTATGCTGTCAATGATTTAATACTGATGAGAACTAATGTCTTTGTTCTCTGGAATAGATCGTTTAGGCTGTATATATTTTTTAATCTGCCTTCAGCATTTACTTTTTCTCCCTGTTTTCCCCCTCTTGCAATACTTATACTGGGGTCCTTGCCACCTGGCTTCTTTCTTGGAATTACTCAAATATGAGTAGGTGCATCCAACTGTTGATCAACAGTAGTACAGAGGGGACATGGGTAGGGGTGTGGTTAACCGTATTAGTTTGTGGTCTCTGCCCTCCTATTCAACCTGCCCTGGTGAAATGTCCCCATCAGACTTTGGTCTCCAGGGGGTCAGTGTGGCTTAGGAAACATGTAAAGTTGTGACTCCAGAGTTGTCCCTCCCTGTCCAATTCATCCCTTTTCATACCAGGCTGTAGTCCTTGAATTCTTGCATGTTTAAGAACATTGGTTTCTTATAATAGTGGTACAATTTGGCTGAATAGAAAACTCTTGGGCTCCCCTTTTGCCCCTAGAACTTGGTTGATGTTTTCATGTTGAGTGTTGGTAGTGGTAGTTGAGAGGAATCATATGATTCTTGTTCTCTACATGACGCAGACCAGACACATCCCTTTGAATTTCAGTATCTTCACAGTATGTGTCCTGTGGCTCTCCCAACCAGAGACTCCCAGCCAGAGACTCCTAAACCTGTGAGGTACACAGCATGGATGCCCACCAGTATTTCTGGTTTTATTCTCTTTGAGACACACCCTTTGTCACCCCTCAAAGCTAGGCGTGGTCAGATGAATTGCTTGGGCAGCAAAATGCGAGTAGAAGTAACGTGAACCTCCTACCCTCTTTCTTCCCTTTCCATGTTGGACTGTGAAGACTCATGCCATGGCAGTAGTCTAGGAAGATGGTAAAGTTGGCTAGGTCTCTGAGCTCCTACTCTGTTACCTCATGTCGAGCATGTGACAATAATCATATTGTAGGATCAACAATATGTATCAATAAAAACAATAGAAAATACAGAAGCCTTTGCTGTTTTAAGCCACTGAAATTTGGGATTTGTTTGTTTCTCCTGTATAGTCTTTGACCAACATAGGGCAAGAAAAGCCAACAATTTCTGTATCAAACATTAGGGAGCCTGGATATTGGGGTGGTGAGGAGGGCTGGCTGGAAGGTGTGCATCAGAGCAGACCATTTGTCACACGTCCAGGACACTGGCTAGCTTCAGTGTCTTCCTTGTACATTGGAGGGAAAATTTTGTAGAATCTGCAAAGCTAAGTCCTTTCGTTGCAGAGGTTTCAGATTTCTTGGGTTCACCAGGAAATGAAACAATGGAACCTAACCTTTTTTTGTTGTTTGTTTCTCTTTGCTTCCTTTTCTACATCTTCTTTTGCCTAAATGTATTGCTGTTGACAGCCTCAATTACTACCTCAACAAACTCAGTTGACTTCTGATCAGTTACAGTGATCATGTATCCCTCCTAAGGAGCCAAGGGAGCTGCTGCCTTCAGGTCTTTTGGCAATTTATAGTCTGTTAAGGTTTCTCTTTTTCTTTTCTTTAATCAAGTTATTTGTTCTCTGTGTAATTAAAAAATGTGTGTACAATCCTAGATGTTTCCTAAAATTAAACCTTGCATCTTTGAATTATCACCACGCCAAGAGACAATTGAAGATGTCTTAGGTCCGGTTCTGTCTGTAGCCTGCGTATTAGCTCCATAGTGACATCTCTTCCCCAGAACCAGACCATCCAGTCCTACATCCCTGCCTGGTCATTCTTTAATGGAATGGCCCCAGAACAATTGCATAAATTTTCTGAGCTTATTTTCTCATCTGTAAAAATGCTATAATAGCAGTGGACTTTTTAATCCCACAAGAATACTGGGAAGAACTGATGAGCTATTATGTGGGAAAGCCCCTGGAGCAGTGCCTGGTCCCAAGGGGGCACTCAGTACACATTACTTGAAAGCACTTTGCTAATTTTGCAAGTGGCCTATCAGTTCATTTATTCCTGTACTTAACACATATATAGTTACTTATCATTGTGCAAGACATACATAAGGAGGTGTTGGTGAAATTAATGTAACAATGGAAATCAGATGTTGTGCGTATTCTGAGATTACAGTAGCTAGTGTCTGAGTGCTTACTATGTGCTCAGGCACTGGGCTATGTCTGTATGTGGGTCATCTCATTTAATCTGTAGAATCAGCTTGACATATATTGCTGTCACTATCCCCACTCTAGAAATAAGGAAACTGAGGCATAGAGATATGAAGGAACTGGCCCAGGTGACCTAGCGGCAGAGTTGGAGTGGACACTGTGGGCAGCATGACCCTAGCACCTGTTTGACCAACAACTCCAGCACCTTTAGCAATACCCATCAGCACTGGAAGCAGAGAGCTTCCTCAGGATGGATGGTTAAAAAAGGTCTTTGGAGAAAATGGTGCCTGAGCTCAGCCCTGAAGTTTGAGGAGGGGTTGCCCCCTCTGAGGAGACCTGAGCCTTGGCTGCTGGTGAGAGACCAGTACTGGATGGTAAGCATGAGTCCAATATGATTGTCTTTGCTGTTAGGTTTTGGGAAATGGATTCTAGCTGGGGTTCATTAGAACTCTGGGTAACCCCAAGTGTTTTAAAATGTTCACCTGGGTGTGGAAGAATGAAATAGCTACCCTCTCTCAGGCTTATAAGCTCCTTTTTACATGGGGCCATACCTCATTCCCATTTGCATTGCTACAACCAAATACAGCATCTGACCCATGACTGGCCCTCAGAAAATTGTTGGCTGAGTGAGTGAATAAATGAATGAATAAGTAGACTAATGACAATAGCCGAGGTGGAGAAAAAAGCAATGAAGACCAGATTTATGGGAGAGCTCCTGTGTCGGTTGAGTTGCGCTGTGCTTGGGAGTGGGAAGTGGAGGTGGCACCTTCCAGAGTGGTTTGGATGATTTGGGGATTCTTGGAAGTAGAACTCGGTAGTTACCAGCATCAAGTTGGGGATTTCCCTGGCTGTGGATGGGGCTGCCTTGTTCGGCTATTAGGTGTCCTATGACTAAGTTAGCAACTAGAGTGAAACTGATTCCAAAGAATGTTTCTTGTTTTCATTTCTCAGAAAGCATGTTTCTAAAAGAAGCCTTAAAGGCTCTTGGAAGTGTTCACAGCCTAGAAGGTGTTGGGATCTTCTCGAGCTGCAAATTGTGAGCCCCTTGAAAATAAGCACCAGGACTTACTACCGTCTTTAAGCCCAGTTGTGATTTGGAGAGCAAGCTTAACCACTGTCTAGGGTCCCTCTTGGGATACTCAGCAGCCAGAAGCAGACTGTCGCCTAAGGATGGATGGTCACAAAAGGCCTTTTGGAGAAAGGGATGTCTGAGTTCAGCCCAGGACTTTGGTTAGGGGGTTCCCAATCAGATGGAGGTGTCCTGAGCCTGGGCCCCGATTGTTGTAGAGCTGGGTGCCAGTAACTACAAATAGTTCAGTATAGAAGCACAGGGTGTGTGAGGGCTCTCTGTGGATCAGAAACTGGTATTGCCCTGCTCCATGGCCTTCAGCCCATCCCAGAACCCACTTGCATCTGCAGGGGAAGTCCCCATCTACACTGACAACTGCCTCCTGACTTTCCCGTGGCCCTGTGCCTCCCTGCCTGGGGGATTTCTCTGGAGCTACAGGAGTCTGTGGGCTGCCAGCAGGTGCTGGAGATGGGGACCCCCAGGGGCGATCCTCAACCTGTGAGGGACATGGGTTGGTGGATAAATACCTCAGCTTCCCTATCTTTGATGAGACTACCCTAAGGCGTGTTTTACATGGCTCCTCAGAGTCCCTGGAGGGATGGAGCCTCGGCTGCCCACAGTGCTGATCCATTCGATAACACCCCTCCTTTTTTGCTTTATTATCTCTTTTCTTTATGCACACTTTTTGCATTGTGCACAAAATCAATCTGCCCTAAGTCTTTGTCTTAGGGTTCGCTTTTGGGAAAACTAAAGTATGATCCCCTGTGTCATGCACATGGTTGGGGCTCAGTCAGTACTGATCGATTCCCTCCTAGATCACAAAGAATGCTAGAAGCTCACAGAAACGTTATTCACTTGACCTCCAGATGGGACCTCTCCTGCTCTGTGACATGCTCTTCATGGTGCTCTGTACCAGTCCCTGTCTGCTCCCTGGTCCTCCCATTTAGACGCCCTGCTCCCCTCCCATCCGCAGCCAGTTCCTCTCTGTCTGGTCTCTAGTCCAACCCCACTGAGGCTTGCTCAGACTACCTCAGTGGGGATCTGGACCACGGGGGCCCAGGATGCAGGACAAATGGCCGAGTCTTCACATCTGGGCGCCCTCCAGCTGTAGTCCTGTCCCATTCCTGCTGCCTGGCTGGGCTTGGAATGACATCTGCCCTGAGATCCTTGTGAGAGTCTCAGTGACGCTTAAGGGGACACCGTTGCTGACAGCTGTCACTGCTTCTTCCTCCCCCCAACCACCCCCCGGCCAATCAATCTCTTTAAAGATCAGCATCTACCCTGGTTTGAACCCAAATTTATGAGGAATGGGGCTTTGAATCTGGAATCATATGGGCTGAGGATTAAACCCTACTTCCACCATTTACTGGCCAGATGACTTTGGGCAAGACATTTAGCCTCTCTGAGCCTTGGTTTTCTCATCTGTATAATGGTGATAGTAATACGTGTTTCAAAGGGTTATTAGAGGTAATATACTTAGGGTACTCTGTATTTGCTCAGCACATAAGACGTTCTGTGATTTTCTGGTGTTTTTTCAAAGTCATTTAAAATATTTTCCCTGCTCTGGATTCCCAGGTCTTGGCCCTGCATCTCTGTACCTTTTCCCCCTCAACCCTGGCAGCAGAGAATGTCTGAGTTATGACCCAGGCCTCTTTTAAATGGGTCATTGTTGTAACTGTGTTTTCTTAGATTCTGAATCTATTTGACATTAATTCATAACAGAGCCAATTAATTCACTGGTTGTCTTATATTTTGTATTCTTGATGCTCTGGGATTTATGGCCTCACTGACCGGGGAGAGACTGCTCCTCCTAGGGCTAGCCAATTTTTAGAGATGGCAAAGACTCACCTGGGAGCATAACTTTTTTTTTTAAGATTTTATTTTTTTATTTGAGAAAGAGAGCGAGAAAGAGCACGAGCCACAGAGAGGGGCAAGGAAGAGGGAGAAGCAGTCTCCCCGCTGAGCAGGGCATGATCCCAGGACCCTGAGATCATGACCTGAGCTGAAGGCAGACCCTTAACCCATTGAGCTACCCAGGCACCCTGGGGAGCATGACTTTCATATGCAAAGTCCAATCCAGAGCCCAGATCCCACCTCAACCCCCCAACAAATCCTTTATCAAACTCTTCAAGTCTGTATTCCTCCTGCCCTAAATCACCTTAGGGCCAGCTACCTGACAACTGGGGACAGTCCCTATGCCCCCAAACCTGCTGGAATTATTCAAACTAGCCAATCTTGTGTACTCTGACCTTTCTTATGGAAAACACAACAAAGATTCTGTCCCTTAGGGTTTTCTCTCTCCCCCTCTGTCTTATAACCAAACCAGGCACTTCCCCAAGTGGCCCTGGGTGTCATGGTACTCCCTTCCTCTCAGGATATGTAAGTAATAAAGATCTTTCAGAGCTCAGCCTCTCCGTATTATCAGCCAGTCACCTCCCAAAGTTAAAATCCCACAGGTACATTTTGAGACCATCCTGCTCAAATCCTTTTGGGAAACAAATGAAGTGCTCAAATTCTTATTAGTGATTAGAATTCCCTTGGGTACAGATTTCTTCCTAAGACACTTTTGGTTCCTTGGGTAAGAAAGTGCCAGAGCCACGTCTTAACGGTTTACGACCTGTAAGATTCCTCACGATCTCATCCGTGATCCCTGAAACGTGAAGAGTAGATTCCAATCCTATTTGGATCCAACACATATTTTGTGGTTTTTGAAAATTACAAAATAAATATATTTCTTGCAAAAAAATGAACATGATATGGAAGGATATAGAGTTAAATGTGAGAGTCCCTCTCCATAAATCTCCTCCTTTGAATCCTGACCCTCAAAGACTTCTATTACCATGTTGTATGCACATCCTTCCACACCTTTTTTTACTCTGCACAGACATGTACACATATCGAGATACATTTCTTTCAAAAATGGGGTCCAAACAGATCTCTTTTCCACAACACGCTTCTTCACTCAACGATCTCTGGTGAATGTCCGTCTCCGCCCAGAGTTCTGTGGTATGAGCAGACGATGACTTATGTAAGCCTACTCCTCTTGATGTACATTTAGGCTGTCTTTCATTTTGTGTCAGTTCAACTGCTATTTCTGGAGAGCTCATTGTTCGGCTACAGTGGCTGGCGAGGCCCTCCTCTGTCTGTCCTTGGGTTTCTCTCTGACCTCAGCTCCTGTCATTACCTCTTGTCTCCCTCTGCCTCAGCCACACTATCTTATCTCACTCTTCCTCAAATATTCCAAATGTATTCTAACCCCAGGGCCTTTGCACGGGACTTTCTCTCTGCTTGGAATGCTTATATTTTAGGCTTTCAGAGGCTCGTGCCCTTACCTTCTTTAGGGTTCTGCTCAAACATCACACATCTGAGCCCCTCCTGCTCCTAGTATGAAATACTCCCCCCGCTTTGGCCCTGTGCCCCCATCCCTGTTCTATTTTTTTCCCTGAGTGCTGTGCCATCCTCTGAGGTAGGGAGTGGTTACTATTTTATTGTTTGGAAGTTCCAGGTGTGTGCTGAGTTTCTGTCTTGTTCACTGTGTCCCCCATATTTAAAACAGAGCCTGGCACATGGCAGGTCCTCAATAAGTGCATGTTTACCGTGAACAGCCCTGCTTGTTGCTCGTGCTTTCACAACGTTTGGTTGTCACAACCACCCTATGGAATAGGCAGATTTGCCTCATTTTAAAACACTGAGGAAACAGGCTCAGAGAGGTGGCCTCCTATGTCCCAGGTCACACAGTAAGGACGTTGCATGGAGTGGTGGTGTTCAAATTCAGAGCTTCCAGGTTTTCAAACTCAAAATCCCAGGCACCACACTACACAAGGTCAGGATCTTTAGGTGTCAAGACTGAGGGTTTGTCTCTTCACTGGCTCCTAGGGGATTCTGAGAAAGGCCAGGGCTGGGAACCCTGTGTTTTAGCTTGCCTGGAAGGTCTGCTCCTGGCCTCTCTGGAAGCTCCAGCAGCCCAGGCACCCTGGGTTCTGACCACAGGGGAGGGTCCCGCAAAAGGCCCTGAGGGATGAGTGTCAGAGGCTCCTGGTTTTCAGTTAGGGAACTGAGGCTTCCAGGCAAGCTCACCGACCATTTCTGGGCTCTTACTACAATTGTTATGATTATTTCCTTGTCGGTGTGTGTGGGGGGTAACAAACTCTCAGGTTTTGGCATGTACCTATTTTCCTGGTTATTCTCACTCCTACATTTTCATTTCATTCCATTCCCTCTTGAAAAACCTGTTGGTGCTCTTTTCATATGGTAATTATTTCTGTTTACTGTTAGGTGCTGGAGAGAGGAAATAGATTCATGGAGAGCCAAGTGGGACTCCCAGGAATTCCTGGCTCTAAAGCCTCTTACCTTACTCCCTGTGCTCTGCCTGTCGGTGCCTGGGAAGCTTCTGGTGGCGCTCTCCGGGAACGAGGGCTGCGACTGGGCGTCCCTGGAGAGGCTATGGACACGGATGTCCCACAGGGTTGTGCAGGGTGGCAGGGGGGCCAAGGCCCCAGGGCTGGGGCTGCTTTTACGGACAAAGGCCAGCACAGAGCTGAAGGAGCAGAAGGCTTGGGGATTAGGCTTGGCTCACAAATGACTCTGCCACTCTCTCCTTGTCTGTCTTTGGGGCTGTGACGCTGGCAGGAGCCACTCTGGGGCTGGGATGAGGAGCGAATGAGGGATGTCAGGTGAGCGCTTCTAGATAGACACAGGTGAGGACCACGAGGTGGATGGTTGTGCCATCTGGGCTTCCTGGGAGGAAAATGGAGTTGAGTTTCTCGATGTCTGGAGGAATGGAGAGTTTGGGAATTTCCAGAGAAGAATAATTAAATTCAGCTTGGTGTCTCTGGCACATTCCTCAAATTTTCACTTCCTTTTGTGCTGGCCAAAACTTTCTCTAACAAAACCATTTAAATTAATATCACTCAATCCAAGGCTAAAAGAATATTCCAGAATCTCTGGTTAACTGTTGTGAAAGTAAATCCAGTTTAAGGATCTGGATACTCGTGAATGCTTTTCTGTCCCTCCTTCCTTCCCTCTCCTTCCCTCCCTGCCTGCCTGTATTTACAAAGTCCTTGTTGCAACAGAAAGAGCATGAAATGCAGTCAGTCAGACCTGGGTTCACATCTTTCCTTATCCACTAAATTCTTTTATGTGTCAGTGTTTTAATGTAGAAAAATGGTGTTAAGAATACCTACCAATGGGTTTTGAGGACCGATAAAAATAGTTAATATTTGTAGAACACTTAGTCTATGCCCAGCACTTTACCTATATTAACACATTTAATCCTCGCATTTATCCTGAGTAGGGTACAGCTATTATGGTGCTTTTTACAAATGACGAAACGGACAGTGAGAAGTTAAAATAACCTTCCCAAAGTCACGCAGTTAGTAGGGAATAAATCTGTAACTCTCACTACTATTATTTTTATGTTTTTTAAAAGATTTTATTTATTTGACAGAGAGGGAGAGAGAGAGAGTGTGGAGGGAGTGAGGGGCAGAGGGAAAAGGAGAAGACTCCACGCTGAGCACAGAGCCTGCAGTGGGGCTTGGTCCCAGGACCCTGAGCGGAAACCAAGAGTCTGATGCTCAACTGACTAAACCAACCAGGCGCCTCTCACTACTATTATTTTAATTCATTCTTGCCCATGGAATTCTGAATACAAACTTACTAAGGCTAACTATGTTAACTATGTTGACTAACTATGCTAACAAACCAAAACAAATCTCTTTACCTGTGAGTAACTTCATCCAAATAGTGGTATTTCTTCCTGCTTGTTCTCTGCCTTCCCGCTTCCCCTTTCCAGCACAAACCCAGCCTCACCTCGTTGGTTGGGCTATCATTATATCTTTTTAAATACATAATGTTTATTATTTTTAAGGTATATTAGCATATATCTCATTTGACTTTTAAGAATGGTTGCAGTTGTGAAACAGAGTAAGTGTTGTTATTAGCTGCCCTTAGAGAGGAAACAGCCTTGTGGTTTAGGGCAGGGAGCCCAGTGGAATTCTCAGTTCTCTTCTGACTTGCCCTGGTTTCTGGATCTTGAGTTGCAATGTTCCTTTGGGCCTTGACTCTTGTTGTTTACCAAACATCCATTCCCTCTTCTGGAATACCCTCTTGATTTTCCCTTGGGGACCTTTTCTTCTCTCTTCCCCTCAGAACTTGTGGTTCTGGTGAGGTCTGCCCATGCCCCAGCCTCTCCAGCGTGTTACATTACTCTGGTCACAATTATTCATTCAAGGGAGAGCTAGTGACTTAAATGAGTTCAGAGAAACTCAGTGGTGGGACTTTTCTGCTGGGATTGCTGAACTACAAGGATGTAGGCCTGTAGCTGTTGGTGACCCTACCTGCCACTGTAAGGAGAGACTTGACCAACAGTGAAGTCAACTCAAGGAAAAGCATAACCAAGAGATGTGGAAAGACAGAGTTCAGGCCATATCCTTAGAGTAACTGGATTCAATAGAACCTGAAGCCAGAAGATCTACCCGAGATTTTAGTTCTATGCATTAAGAAATCCCCTCCCCATTTCTTACTTTGAAGCATCTTGAGTTGGGTGTTCTGTCACTTTCGGTTGAAAAGGCGCTAACTGATGGACCCCCAAAGAGACTGCTTCTTGACAAGGGGTGAGGCCGACTGTGGCTAATTATTTTTTTCCTTTTTCACTGGAATCCTGGACACTGATTAGGTGCCTGTAAAGATTTGTCAACTCATTAATTGCGAATTCAGTGGAAGATGAGATAGTTATTAAGAATTTTGAACTATTACTTAAAAATCCTTGCATACTGGACAGATACTCCCTTTCTTGAGATATCCAGGGAAATTTGGAATAACTTTTCTTTGGGGTTCTTTCCAACTTGCTTGATTTCCCACTGAGACCAACTGTAGTTCACATGGATTTGCACTGGAGAAAGTCATATTTTATTTTTAGTACTGTTTACTCAAATTCTTTACTAAGAATTTTTACCACTTAAGCATGAAGATCTGATCTTTCTGAGCTGCAAGGTGGACCATCTTACCCTTCTCCCTTCATGGACTCCTGCTCGCTCACAATAGGAGCCCCAGCCGTGGATCTATAGACTTTAGGGAATATACTGATGCCATGGCCAGTTTTATTGGCTAGGCTTCAGTCCCCAGATTTTCATCAAACATTCATCTGGGTTTTGGGATGAAGGAATTTTGCAGAAGTGATTAAAATCTATAACCCGTTGACTTTAAGTAAAGGAGGCTTTTCTAGGTAATCTGGTGGGCATGATTTAGTCAGTTAAAAGGTCTTAAGAGCAGAGCTGAGGCTTCCCGAACAAAGAAGAAATCCCACCTAAGTTCTGCAGCATCTCTTCATGCCTAAAAGTCCTAGAGTGTCCTTCCTGGAGGTCTCCCTACAGATTTTGGAATTCCCAGACAATCTTCACAATTGCAGAGTCCGATTGCTTACCATATATTGATTAATATATATTATCTTCTACTGGTTCTTGTTCTCTGGTTGAACACTAACACAGACAAATGACAAATTCTCCTTGACATGGTAGGCAGAATGGATGTGCAGGGTTATGTGAGAGTAGAGGTAAGACCACAATCTTTAGTGTTCCAAAGGGCCCTGTCACATCACAAGACTAAGAACCCTGGTCTTCTGGGTAAAGCCCCAGGTCTTCAAAATGATTCACAGTTCTCCATAACCTGTCCCTTCTGACCACCTCGGCCTCCTTTCTTGCCTCCCACCTTCTCATTTTTTATAATCCAGGATTATCAGTGTACCTGAACCCCACAAGATAGTCCATGAAAATCTCTATGGGGAGCAAGGAAAACGTCCCAGAGCTTTCTGGGTGCTCCAGACAACTCCTCACCCTCCCATCTTCAAGCCTCCATAAACCTGTCATGGTTCCTGTAGACCCCACCTCGGTCCTCCTCCCACTTACAGACTCACCTTCACTCTTTACCTTGAGATATTAGGGGAGTCTTATCACATTCTTTATCCCCATTCATGTCCTTCCAGACTTCCAGGTCATCACTCATCTTGTGGACTCTCATCACTCTGGCTCCTTTCCTGACCTATCTCCTACCCCTTCCTTCCCTGGTGCCTTTTAGAACCCAAGGTCACTCATCAGCAAAGGGCCTTGTATCCTCACCCTCCATTCCGAATGTCATTGCATCTTCTTGTTCTGACTTCAGCTTGGCCATCCCCTTGAGGACACCTCTGTCCCTGTAGCACACTCATGTGGTGGATGTTTTCTACCCCTCAGTCCTCATTCCACTGGGCCCAGATATACAATAGGACCTCTGTGTTCCTTCTTGCCATTTCATTCTCTTGTCTCCTTCCATCTCTCCAGGGTCAAGTCTCACTTATGTCATCCGTCCATCCATCCCCACCAGTCCTCCTGGTTGATGTCACCTACTAATTTACTTCACTCCCTTCATATCTTGGAGATTTCAGCTCCTGGCCTCTGTCAGTCACTTTCTCTGACATCACTGCCATAATTCTAGGTGACTCAGCATCTCCTTAGAAAACCTATCACATACCCTGGCCTTACAGCCCCTTGACTTTCTTTCAATGGTCTTGTCTCTCACTCAGCCTCATACTCTTACTCACATGATCATACAGAGAACATACTACTTATAACTACAGTATCTTCACAAACTCAGTTTCATGCTTCCTGCTGTCCTACTACCACTTCTTTTCTGGCATTCCATCCAGTATCCCAAATCCAACAACTATTGATTTTACTTGGACACTACCATTTTCATTCTATCTCTTATTCAAGTCCTCACCCATTTAGATTCTATGATAATTACTCTCTGCAATACACCCGTGACTCCTTGGCCTCTCTTTTGTTTTACTGAACCTTATATAACGAAACCACCACTTTGGCTAGATGCACTAGAGAAAAACACACAACCAGACTGATGCCCTCCGTCTCCAAATGTGATTGTTCCTTTCAGAAGGGTCTTTGATTAATGCTGCCCATCAGTTATACTATATTTTCTTATTTCATTAACCATACCACTCTCTTTTATAACTATTTCATACCTTGTCTTCTAGTTTTAAATCTCCAACACCTCTTCCTCCATGGTCATGTTCAATGAATGACCTTATTTCTCATTTTATCCAGGAAATAGAAGTAATCAGAAGACATACAAGCTCCCACCACCACATGGATACCCCCTTTTGTGTGATATCATGTGTGTATGCTCTGCTAATCTCTTGTTAGAATGAACTGTTTGTGCTTCCATCCCAAGCCAACCTAACACCCGTGCACTGGATCCCAACCCCTCGTCCCGCTCCCCCTCTCACCTTCTCAATGACATCACTCCAGCAATCCTCCTCTCAGTGCTGCGTACCCAACCTGCTCTCTGTCATTTCTTTCTGCCATGTTCTTCCTCATGTAATTGTTAACAATTTTTTTCCGATGCTCAAACCAAATACCTTACAGTTGCCCTTGATGCTCCTCATTCCCATGAACTGTACCTTAGTGACAATTCTCTGTGGCTCTCCTTAAGCACTGTCTCAAGCATCTCACCTATCTTCACCATCTTCACTGCTGCCACCCTTGTTCCTTTCCACGTTAACTCCTGCCTGAGTTATTGCAACTATTTCCACCTGGCCTTTTTGCTCCTGCCCTTGAAGAAGGCACTTGGCAGGAAGAGCACTCCTGTACCACCCTCTGATGGCATCCCTTCTTACTCAGATTACAAAGTAAAGACTTAGAATGAGCCACAAACCTTCGATGGCCTACCCCTCCCCACCATGTGAACCCATAATCTACCTATCTCTTCTTTGCTCACTTTGCTCCAGCCACACTGTCTCTGTGTTGCTCTTCAAGGGTGTTTCTCAAGGATATTTGCATATACTGTCCTTCCTGCCTAGAAAGCTTTCCCTCAGATGTATGTCCATATCTATACCTATACTTCTATCATTAATACCTATATGTATATGTGTAGGTAATGTGTTCATGCATGTGTATATCTACACATATATGTATATCTACATCTACATCTGTATCTATACTTATACCGAGAACTACACTATCTATATTGATCATCACCTTGCTGTACCACCACTTCAGCTTTATACTCAGATTTCTCTTTTCCTGTGAGGCCTCTCTGATCACTCTTCCCAAAATTACAAATCCAGCCATTCCATACTCCCTTCTTTGCCTTTTTTTTTTTTTTTTGGCCCGTTGCATGTATTATTATATAACATACTATGTTTTAAATTTATTTTGGAATCATCTGTCTTCACCTATGAAGTGGAAGCTCTGTGGAGACAGTATTTTTGTTTGTGCTTTTGGTTGCTGAGTCCTGAGCATCTAGAACAGCATCTGGTGTATAGTAGGGGCATGTATTTGTTGATGAAGTAATTAAATAAAATCTACCAATGATGATAAACCACCAAATGAAAATCTACCAAATGATGATTTGATTGGGATCCATCATTTCTCACAGCTAAGTCTTCAATTAGCTCGTTCCTATATTAGCACCTCCCACCCCCTCGCTGGCCCCAAAGAGTCCCATGTACAAGAGACAAGGCCAGACAAAGGAGCATCTTGTTACAGCTAGAGCTTTGGTCATAAATGCCCAAGTAGGACTCCATAACCCTGGTGAGCTGGGCTGGGACACAAACATCCTTCCCACGTTCTGGGAGATATCACTCTGACTGTCAGGAAAGGCAGGTCCAGGGAAAACAAAGGCAACAGACAATTTTTCTTTTGGCGTTCAGGTCTGGTTTTGAACAAAGCAGTCTGGTATTTGAGCTTTCTGGCTGGTGAAATAAAATGTCACAAATAGAAATGTCCTTAATCAAATTAATTACATTTTATTACTGTGCTGTGATGGGATTAGTCTGCCCTCAAGCAGAGCAATGCAATGTAAAATATAAGCTGTAAGGTGGATCATTGTCAGATATTTTATGCATGTCCCTTTTATTTTGGTCTGTGAATTCTTTATCAACTGAGCCTGCTATTGTTGTTGAAATAATAATAAGTTTGGCAAGCCTGCTGAGAACTGGAGCAGGGATGATATCATTCACCCAACAGTCCGTTTCCCAAATAGCAGTCTTAGACTGGTTTTAGAACTTAAGTCAGAGCCTGTCAGTCACTCTCATGCTCAAAACCCTGCAATAGCTTCCTGCATCCCTTGAGATAAAGCTCAAGGCCCTTGCAAGGCCTTAGATGGGCTTGATCCCCACTCCCTTCTGACCTCACATCCTGCCTCATGCACTTCATTCCAGCCACCTGGCATCCTCCTGTTTCTGGAATGAACCAAGGGCCATAAAACATTACTTCTCTCCATGTTTTTACTCCCCAGCCCAAAATGCTCTTCCCCCAGAGGCTGGCATGACTCATTCTTCTTTATCTTCCAGTCTCTGCTCAAGTATTGGATTTGGCCCCAGTCTTCCCTGACCCACCTTTCTAAAGCAGCACACCTGCCTCTCTCTCACCTACTTCCCTCTTCATTGTCTTCATCACCTCGTGACAGGCACATCTTTTGTTGTCTTTGTTTGTCTACTCCTCAAGTGGACTGTAACATCTAGAGGAGGAAGTTGGGCTGTTTTGATATCAGCTCTGTCCCAAGTGCCTAGAATAGTGCCAGGCACTTTGTGACTACTTAATCCTGGCTCTCTATGACTATACCGATCTTGCGGGTGACCAGAATTCTTAAAAGACAAGTCAAAGAGACTAGTACTTACTTACGAGAGAGAGAGAGAGAGATTGAGAAAACCAGTGTTCAGGAAATCTCAAACTCATAACCCTTGTTCATACAAGAGAAGTCTCCTCTTGGGAACCTTCAAACCTGGCTGAATCTGGACCTAGTCCACCCACATCCATGCTCCTCCCCCTCATGTTGTGGGCGAAGGGTGGTAGGGCAAGCAGAAGGAGAACCTCTTCTCCCCTCAGAGGCCACCACCTGCTGTGGTGTGTCAGCCAGCTGCCCTCAAGTTTGAGCATGAAACCTCCCCAAACGAACCCTTATGATTTCAAGTAGTCAAAGGAAGACCATCTAAATCTGAAAGATTTGGAAGCTAAGAACCTGATTTGGCCCAAGAAAGCTGATGCTTATTAAAATCTTCAAAGGGCAAACATGGAAACAATCCGTGTTTTAGATTATCTCCCTCTCATTTGTCATGTCTGGAACCATTTTTATAGCACTGAAATCAAAAGCTCCAAGAGTTCAGCTTTCTTCCTCCACACACCTCTTTGCTGGCAAGGTTCCAGGACATTCTCTAGGCTTGTGGGTCACAGAAAGAGAATATGTGTGGTCAGAGGGCTTCTCTGACAGTCTGCACTTGAGCCAAGTTATTTTCAAAACTGAGATGAGTGTAGAGAGGTCATTATAGTTCAGAGTTTAAAATAAAAGTTTCAGGAAAGCTCATGTGTTTCACTTAAAATGCAAAATATATGGCTGGTGTCATGGTGGCTATTTTTATATGATGTTTTTTGGAGATAAACATTTGCTATAGATTTCAATCCGTCAAGGGGAAGAGAAGTAAATATAATTTTTTTTCTAGTGCTTTCTCTATGATGAGAACTGGGCTGGGTACTTGCCATACACATTTAATCAGCTCACTGTCCATATCATAAGCAATGATCCCACTTCCAACCTTCTAGAGAAAAACAGAGAGCACAATCAGGATCCCTGCAATTTTTCTATCATCCCTAATTTACCCACATTTCCATCCATTTTCACTTGCTTCCTACCAGTCTCATTTGACACTGGCGTGAGGCAGGACCCATGCTTGTTCAAAACCGAACACACCCCTGGGGGGTTGTTTCGATCTACCTCTTGCCTCTCTTAGATTACCTGGCTCACATACCTTCTCTCATTCTCTAGTATCTTCATCTTCTAGCACTGGCTGATTGCTCTCAGTCTGTATCAATGTTGAAGTCTTTTCCATCCTGAAATAACCTTGACTTGGCTCCCTTGACCCACCTCTAACTACCATACTTCTCTGTTCTTCCAAGGAAAATGGACTGGGTGGGTTAAAAGCAACTTGCAGGACCAATAAAAGGTGAAGAAAGCAGATCAGCTGTTTCTAAGAGTGCTTCAGAAGCTGCTACCTGAAGGCATTCAGTTGGGCCTGGCCATTCTGTGCTTGGGAGTAGATGGAAATAACTATTTCCAAGCTCTAGTAATTTGAAGGGACAACAGCTTAGATAGATTGCCCAGATTTCATTGGTTTCTAGAGTGTTCTAACTAAGGCCAACTAGAAGTAGCATATTGACCATTAAGGAGAGGTAAGAGGTGTGGGGATATGTGTGTACACATATCTGAATGGGGAGGGGGATATATATGGACAGTAGAGGATATAAATTATTTCTGTTTCCTGCCCAGTGACTGGTTTTCAGTCTTTATGGAGAGAGTTGTTAATGTCAGATGTTGAAAGAAATATTTCCAGGGAAACTTTTCAGGAAGATATTTCCAGTAAAGATTTTAATCTCTGGGTATAAGCACAACTACTTTGGAGCCAGGTGACTCACCATGGGAAAGTGGCTTTCTCTCCGTCTTTACCCAGAACTTAGCACCACTCTGGCTGCATGAAGATGATCAACTTTGGGAAAACAAGAGATTACGTCCATCATTTGAATGTTACCATTCTCAAGTTGGACCCCATCAAGGTTTGTGATTTGCATAGAGGACTATGATTTGGACCATGATTTACATGGTGACTGTTGTGCAGGAATTCATGAGCACATGTTAGCACAGCATAGAAACACTTGGGGCAAGGATCTTAGTGAGACCAGACAGCATGATATCAGATTGTTGACTTTGAGATGTCCTCATCAGTATGCCTACACTGGTGAGGCCAGAGGACTGAAATGTAATCTCAAGGAGGGCAGGGATTTTTGTCTATTTGGATCACTTCTGATTCAATAAATAAGCATACATTTAATGAATGTGAAATGAATTTGGCTTCATTCTAGCCAGGAAAAGAGGTGGTCAGCCTGCAGAGACCTGGATATTTAGTCTGAACAGCTAGAAATCAGGTAGAAGCCAGGAAGAACTGGCTACATTCACACTGAGGTATGGAAGAGAGAGTGACGGAAGAGCAGTGGCATCTTGTCAAGAAAGGTTAAAATAAGGTGAGAAATCAGAGGGGAACCTGAGAAGGTTATGCAATTCATTAGGCACTACGATATGGTACAAATTGTACTACAATAGACAGGAAATGCTGAAACACGCTTGAGTATATCATGTGTTATTTTGAATGGCACATCTAGCACATTATCTCAATGGTTTTCTTATCAACCAAGTGAGATGGGAGGGGCAGGGATGTTCATTAATTTTTCCAGGTAAGGATGGGGAGAATAAAGTTAAATGGCTTGCTAAAGATGACTTTAAAAAGTTCACTCATATGTGAACAAAAGCCAATGACTTTGAGTTATGTTCTATCATTTTTATCCACCTGATCATAGCGCGGACATGAGATTTTGGCTGATGGGTGGATTTTGACTTGGCAAAGCTGTGAACTCTTTTTGGTTTGTTTCATTTTCTCTTTTTAATTTTGCAGTGGTGACTATGAGGTGATAAGCTTTAAATATCCACCTTTGACTGGAAAGGTTGGGGTGACATGGGGAGATAATTAAAATGGAAAAAAATGCAATTTAAGACTTGGATTCGGGGATTAAGATAAGGATAATGTATTGAAACAGCTGAGAGTTTCTGTGCAGGATTTACTTCACGTCTCAACAGCACAGAACAAATTGCACAAATTCTAGGAATTATGTCCCTTGGTAACAAACACTGGTCACTTTTTAAAATGTCACCAAATGGCTCTGTTGTTTTGTAACAAGTCACAAGCAGATGGCACTTTGAAGTGTATGATGCAGTTTGGAAAACAAAATCACTTGGACATTTTTGTCTGGTTTGCTAAGATAATGTGATGAAGCCCAAAATGAAAGAATCTTGGCGCGCACTGATAGAGCAAAGCTACACACCGTTCAGTGGATTTGTTCTCATTTCTTGTAATCAAAGAGCTGATTTTTCAACTGTTAGCTCATAAAGTTTACACACTTGCTGGATAAAAGGTGCAAAGCAAAACTATCATTTCTTGAATGTCTACTAAGTGCCAGACTCTTTATATGGTATATTATTTATAAGCTTACATATCTTATTTAATTCTAAAGTAATTTTATGGGTTGCTAAAGCAGACTTCCTGCTGAACGGGGAGCCTGAATTAGGGCTTGACCTCACAACTCTGAGATCATGACCTGAGCTATTTTACATGTAATGGATTAAGCCACCCAGGTGCCTGGATTACCCCTATTTTAAATATAAATAAATATGAAGGCCCACAGACATCCCATACCTAATTAGGTATGAACTAGAATTCAGACCTTGATCTGACACTCGGATCCATTTCTTCCCCCTACTCTACTTTGAGTAGAATCCTTTCCCTACCTGCCCCTTACCACTTGTTTCAAAAATATTTTCATGCTCAAAGTTAAGTATCAAAATAGATGGAACTAACAAATGTTTATGTAATATTTATTTATGTATCAAATTCCAAATTCCAAATTCCAAATTCGTGGCTTTCAGAAATAGGAATTTGTGGACAATTTTGACGAGTACTGTAGGCTTGACTCTCTCAAAACCCACCCCTATCTACTTTCCCCCTGCCTTTTTCTATACACAAACTTCTAGATCTCCTTGCAGCAAGGGGTGCCCATGTACATGGGAAGTCCTGGAAGAGGGTTTCCTTTTCCAAATAAAAATGCAAAATTTTACAAGAAAGCTTTTGCCTTCCTGCCTGGAATATGAACTCAACACCTGGAGGGGCCACCATGAGGCCTCAACACCTCATGCCACCATGAGGACGAAAGCCACATGCTAAACAACACAAGTGAAGCAAGAAGATAGAAGGAGCCTGGTTTCCTGGTGACATCTTGAAATAGCTACATCATCCTTGGATCATCTACCTCTCGACTTTTCGTTGTGTGAGAAAAATAAACCCCTTACATGTGAAAGGAACTAGATTTTCTGATACTCACAGATAAATGCAATCCTAACTGATACACGTGGTAGCCAGAATTGTAGAAGACATTCTTATTTTCTATGTTCAATTTTTTATGCCAATTTGGTCCCGATTTGTAGTTCTGAAACATTGGAAGTATAACCATCAAGTTAGATAATAGATTCACTGGAATGGTTTTCCTTTGGTTGGACACAAACTGGAAGAGTTGGGTCCCCTCCCTGGTTGTGGGGAAATGGCCAGCCAAGCCTGTGATCCGAGTGACTGTGGTACTTCCACAAAGTCTGGACATCACTGCAGCCAAAGCACTCGGCATGGAGTCGGGGAGGGAGAGCAGGATGACCAGACTTGTCTTGTCACCACCATTTTGCCTTGTATGGATGTAGACTTGGCCTTTGGTTGGAAAAACTAGAAAGGACCTTGAGAAATCATTTTGTCTATCTTTTCACCTTGGGGAAGGACCACAATGAAATCATACCAGACATGTATGATAACCAATCTGGGTTTAATAGACCTCCAAAGAAGACAATTCCTCAGCCTCTTCCCTCAGGAGGCCATTTCAACATTTAAAAACTTGTAGTACATTCTTTCCTTACTTAAATAGAATGTGTATTGCATGTGTGTAGGAGGGGTTGGTGGGGAAGCCTTTTATCTTTCTCCAGCACAGTGGTAGAGTGGGATGTGCAGCAGGGCAGTCCTGGATTCAGGTTGCTCTGCCACTTCCTAGCTGGTGCTGAACTTCCTTGTTACTTAACTGCACCAAGCTTCAGCTCCTCATCTGTAGAACAAACAAATCATAGCCACACTAGGGTCGTGATGAAGACCTCATATACTTAAAATGCTTGGAGTAGTATCTGTCATAAAAGTGCATGCACAACAGAAGCTCCCTTCTCCTTCTTTCCCCTCGGGACAGCAGCTCACCACCATTCTTTGGGTGAGATTGCTTTGGAGGCCCAAGGAGCATCACCGAATTGCCCCACAACCCTCTCTACTACCGGTTAATTAACTTCAATGTCCTAATCTCATCCTCTTTGCTCTTATTTTTCAGTCCTTGCATTTTAACTTGGGAGCTTGTTTTCAAAACAATTTCTAGAAATGTGTTTGCAATTTGGAAAGACCACATTTTTCTAAATTAAACAGAAAAATACCAGTACTGTATTGGAAAATTGGAAACACTGACCTGTGCATTTTGTGTTGCCGTGTACACAAAATTTTCGTTCTAAGTCGTGGATCCATAATTGGGGTTTACACGATGGTGACAAAGGCCTAATGGAGTAATGAGACAGTCATCTGGATTGTTACAGCCAAGAATATTCTGGCCACAAATAGTGGGCTGATTGAAAGACAAAGACTCCTCTGGTACAAATTATCTACACTGTGACCTTCGCTATGGAGAGATGCTGTTTCAGACCCAAGTGAGGTTTGCCGCACCATTTTAAGAAAGGAAACATTTCAGACCATGGATTGTTTTTCAAAGCCATACACATGACTCTTGGCAAATAGAGCGTTGGATCAGCCAACTTCTGGCAGCTTCGTGTGTTGGCTGCACTAACATATGTACAATTTCAGACTCGAAGCCACACATGAAGTCATTGTGAAGCTGCACAATTCATCCCTAAAAATTTGCCATGCGGTGGTTCTTCTCCTTTCCAACAATGTAATCCCTAGGAATTGTGATGATTTGAACTTTTTAAGAAGAATCATTAATTAATCTTCATGCACTTAGGACCTACTGATTTATCTTTGATGAGGAAGAACATCTTGAAAAAAACCCAGAAGATGAAATGAAAGAAATAACTGCAGTACGGTTTGGTTCAGAGATTTTTCTCTCCTTCTTTTCATATAATTACTCCTGCTGATTTCTAAGTGATGCTGAGATGAGGAAAGAAAATGACAGAACAGACGTTCAGGTCTCAAAAAAGCCCCATGGATTTACTGCTGGTCACTCTGTCTCATTACCGTATTGTATTTTCTCTATAGCACTACCCAGTCTCAGAGGTTACATCTTGGCTTATGATTCTATTGTCGCCCCCTCCAGAGGTATGAAGGAAGATACTCGGGCTCTTGTTCACAGCTATATCTAGAATAATGCATGGCACATAGGAGGTGCTCAATAAATATTTGTGGATTGAACGGACCAGAGCTAAGGAGAAGAGGAACCCCTGTTGGTTGGGCACCCATTATGCTAGGTGCCATGCTGGGTTTTTTATGTCTGTTATATGCATTTGAGAGGTGAGTGACATACGTGGAGTCTTATGGTTAGAAAGGGATCAAGCCAGAATTCAAAACCATGGCTATTTTCCTTCAACTCCTGACATTTGCCACCACCGGAAATTATTTCCAGCGTTCAGGGGTTCCGGTTCCACCACACCCTCTGTGACCTCATTCTGAGGCAGCTGAACTTCCCAGCACATGTTTTGAGAACACGTTTGGCTTATCTCTATCTGTGCTGTAGTAGTCTGCAGAGAAAGCTATCTCATTATATTTTATTCAGCACAGTAAATGCTCCAAGTCACCAGTTTCTCTGTGTAAAGTTTCTTGAGTAAATTTCTCATGTTACACATATAGCTCGCTTTATTCTAATATGGTGATGAATTCCACTGAGCGGTACTGATTTATAATAAAAAGCCAACAAAGGGAAGGAAATCTGCTGGTGCAGTCAAAGGGGTTGATGACACAAATTTCGGATGGTCACAGGGCTTGGAAGGTGATGTACACAGAAGGGGGAAGAAAGCACGGGGATATAAATAAGACAGTAAACAATTCTGAAATGAGGTTGATTCTGACCACAGGGTAATCAAAAAATTTGAATGAGGAAAATGCCCCATCTCTTCTACTTAACAGAATTGTTTAACCTTCTTCAGGTGGACATGGCCATCTTTATTCTTTGCCAGATTACAGAACAGTCTGAGGAGGGTGATTGTCAAACTTTGATGCACATCCGATCCTCTGGAAAACTACTGACAAAGGGGCCCCGGCATCTGCTTTAATTAATGAGGCACCAGGTGAGGCAGGTGAGGGCCTCACTGATGTCAAGCATGGTCGTCCTCCACTAGCTCACTCTCCCCTGCAGTGGGGGCAGTATGGGTCTGACAGTCGTGCGTCCCCCTCCCCCGCATCAAGAGCATGGGGTCCTGAAAAGACCACAGGCCTGGGAATTCCAAAGCCTGCACTTAGCTCCCAGCCCTGCTGATTTCTAAGTGTGTGACCAAGGGCGAGTTGCCTCAAGTCTTGAGCTTGTTTCCCTGTCTGAAATCTTCGTGGGCAATGGTCAGTCACTTCCACTCAGAAGGCACTGTGAGGGCTGGATAAGGATGCATACAAAAGAACCCAACAGTATGAGGGAAGCTGGTAAAAATGAGGTCTTTCTCCAGTATGATGCAGTCAGATCATTTACTCTCAAATCCCAGCCCTGCCAGCCATCACCTGTGTGGCCGAGGGGGAGTTACTTAGCCATCTCTAACCTCAGGTTCTTCTGCAAGAGAGACAGAAACAATACCTTGCTCACGTTAACTCTCAACCTTCACACAAGCCCCCGGGGTTTTACCGTTATTTCATAGCAAGGAAACCGAGGCGCAGAGGTATTAAGTGACCACACACGGGCCACTCGGGGACGTGTCCTCATGTGCTGTGGTTGCAGAGCCGCTACTCCTCACCAGTGAGTTGTTCCTCCAAAGATCACACGAGACAGGGTGAGCAGACGGCCAAGTGCATGGTGAACGCTCAGTACATGTTTCCCAATATTTGGATGATTTCCTTTCACATTCCAAGCGTGTATCCCTCCATTTTATGATCCATTGCACCCCACATGTCCAACAGCCAGTGCCCAGACTTACTTAATTATTGTCATGAAAACATAAGGCGGCTTGGTCTGCACAGAGTACAAACATGTTAATTCTAGAAGGGGAGCATCATCTCACCTTTTGTTTTTATTGCTTTCAGCACATTAGATATATAACGTATATTAAGTAAAGACGAGAGGTTAGAGATCACCTCAGACTAAAAGTTGTTCCGGGCTGGGGTGGGGGTGAGGGGGTGTCTACATAGGAAATAAGCTGTTATAAATTCCTAGTAGCTGAAATCCCTTTCCACGCGGAGCCTCCTGACCCTCTGACCATGAGGAGCCTCCTGACCCTCTGACGTGCCTTATACTTGCGCTGATGCCGAGGCCCAGAGGAGGTAAGTAACTAACGTATTGGGAACAAGACCAATCAAACCGTGAACCAAAATTGTTCAAA